GTCGGGTGCCTTCGGTGTTAACGGCTCTCGCTGTGCAGTACTACTCCATTACTCGAATTAATTACTCATCATGTATATACAGCTATTTTAGCGCGCGAGATTTCGCCATATACGGACGCGCCGGAGAGCAGTCGTGCATTAAATTCCGATAATGCCGCACGATGCGCAGAGCGCAGAGGACGCCAGAGCAGAGAAAGAGAGAGAGAGAGAGAGTGTTTTATAAATCATTTTACGATTCTTAATTATTTATTGCCATCTGGAGAAGGTGGAGCTTAATTGCGTGAACATTTTTCATCCCTTAATTAGCAATATTTTAGACCCGTTTTCTTTACGTAGCTTGATATATTTTCGGGGGATTTTATGTGGATTTTTGATTTCGCATTAGATTTGAGCGCATTGAAGGGGCATAAACGTCGCGATGCCCGAGTTTGATTTATTTATATCGAATGACTATTTTTGCTCTCTCCGTGAGGAAGATTTCGCAGCGGTGCCAGAATGTGCGACTTATGCCACCGAAAAGCGTGCCATAAGTCGCACATTCTGGCACCGCTGCGTTCGCATCACACTCGCGTACGCTCGTGTGCTAACCTCACTTCGGAAAAGTGGGCATAAATGTGAACTTAGCACAGAGCTAAACTAACGCCGTGCCAAAAAGTGTTACTTATGCCACTAGTATCGTAAAGTACTACTAGTGGCAACCACAGTTGCAAAATGCTGAGCGACTGACATACGACATCATGATAATAGTTGTTTCAGCCGTATGAAATTAATATAATAGTAGCTTCAATGAGTATCATAATAAATCAATGTTACAATGAGTTTTTTGTGTCAGCTAATTTGGTAAAGCCGTTAAAATTATTATTGGTATAATTGGAAATAGAACACAAAAATAGGGCGTACTTTTTAGTTTGATGTTCCCTACATGTACATTAGTATAGGTATATATGAATCCAGGTTTCCGTAATTCGCACGTACGAAATAGATTTCACTTATATCGATGTTTTGTGCTCAGCGTGTATTGACAACGTTGCGACCAAAGGAATTGGCACATGGCATGCCAACACATATACAGCTGTATGTACGCGTTAAGCTGGCCCGGTGTGCCCACGTGACAATATACATAGATATATATTTGACTACATGACTAACCATGCATATTTATCACACATAGATTACATAGATGTAAGATATTCGCTCGTGGTGTAAAAATGGTAAATGATATAGATGCGACTGTAGTCACGTATTTGGCATTAGTGTAATATAAAAATGTATATAAACCCTTCATTCGCTCACGTTAACTTTGCTTCATATTTTGCGCGTCGAAAAAAAATTATGCGAAAAGGAGTATAGGACACATCATAAGCTCGATTCATGAAGTGTTCAATAATTTATCATTTCTTTGTAATAAGATACAATTCAAAGAAAATGGCTAATTATTTATTACGAGATCAATAGTATAATTTCTCCAATAATAAATGATAAGTTTAGAGTGTCTCTGTTGACATAAATTTTCTCAAACTTTCATTTCACGATTTGTAAATATTATTATACTTATGTTACCTAGCTCGATGTGTAACATCATTACAAAACAATTAGTCGTTGATCAAGTTCCGAGTGATAAACATGGACTTCAGTGATGTATATAACTCTGATTTCAGGTAATTTTTGTTTCGTGAGAATGAAATTTAAAAAAAAATGGCATAATACTTTATATTATTGGGAATATTGCAGACTGAAGAAGGAACCAGATGATGTTTCCCCAATTAAAAATGAAGATTATAAGATAATTGACAATGCATGCGATGCTAAAAACGACGAATTCTCGAGTTTTTGTCGAGAAAATTTAGTAAGTGTTGATGTGGGACTGTTTAATCAATATTTTGATCAAGTATTTTTACTAATCTCATTTCCAGATTTATGGGCTTCGTGAAAATGATGAAAATTCTGGACCTAATAACGATTTGGAAATAGAATTCGAATGTAAGGACGAGAAGCTCGGCATTAACTTATTAGTAGTCAAGAAAATCGAGGATGATTATCCAGATCAATGGCAGCATATGAAAAATAGTTGCGATTATCAGACTCAAAAGAAAATTAAAGAAGAAATTGTTGACGAAGTAAAAGAGGAATTGAATTTGGATGGAGAACTCAGTGATGCATTTGATGCAAATGGAAAAACATTTGCTCAAAATAGTCAACGCAAAACCCAAACTGATAAGGAACACAATCGTACCAAATATCCATGTAATATATGCAGTAAAAAATTTGCACGAAAAGATAGTCTCAAGGTCCACATCGATTCAGTACATAATGGTGTTAAACATGCGTGTGGTGTATGTGGAAAGACATTCAAATACAAAGGTCCTCTCAAAATCCACATCGATTCAGTACATAATGGTGTTAAACATGATTGTAGTATATGTGAAAAGACATTCACACAAAAAGGACATCTCAAAAGTCACATCGATGCGATGCATAAAGGTATGGCACCTACTTGCGAAATATGCGGAAAGAAATTTCAAACGAAGGATCGTCTCAAGGTCCACACCGATGGAGTACATAATGGTGTTAGACATGCGTGTAGTGTATGTGGGAAGACATACACACAAAAAGGAGATCTCAAAATTCACATCGATGCGATGCATAATGGTATGGCACCTACTTGCGAAGTATGCGGGAAGAAATTCTTAACTGAAGCTGCACTCAAGATTCACATCGATGCACACAATGGTGTTAAACATGCGTGTGGTCTATGTGCAAAGACATTCACACAAAAAGGTAATCTCCAGGTCCACATCGATGGAGTTCATAATGGTATTAAGCATGCGTGTGGTCTATGTGCAAAGACTTTCACACAAAAATTTTCTCTCAAGATTCACATCGATGCGATGCATAAAGGTGTGGCATATACTTGCGAAGTGTGCGGAAAGACATTCACACGAAAGGGTAGTCTTAAAAAACACATGAATTTGATGCATAATAAGACCACTTATTGTAATAAGTGCGGCAAGACATTTTCTCAAAAGGATCGTCTTATAACTCACATTAAAACGCAGCACGAAGACATTGATCACGCTTGTGTTTTATGCGGAAAAAAATTTAAACATAGAAAATATTTATGGAGACACGTCAAAAGTGTGCATGAAGACAATACCCAAGCACGAGATCAATACAAATGATCTTGAAACGTACCTATCAATACCGCGCAAAATGATGAAACATCGAGACAAATAAATAAATTAACAAATCATAAATTAACATATATTTATTTATTAGCATATAATAAATAAACATATCATAAATTTTTGTTCAGTAGTGATACTCAAAACATGACATAATTATACTATATCACAATCATGTTACGCTCAGTATAGTGGTACTCAAAACACCACATATAATATACTTGTTTTAAGTACAATGTTAAATACCGATACACAAGTAAAACCGATCGGAAACAAAAATTATGTTTTTTCGAAAATTATGTCGCGAGGTGCAAAACTCAAAATTGCATAAAAAGGCATTTTTTGCATATTAGGATACACTGATGTTGCTAAAAAAAGTATACAGCACTCCGTCAATACCTTAAGAATGCTATGTAAAATTTTCAGATCGATTGGTTTATCCCTGCATGAGTTATCGCAGTTAGAGTAAAACATCGAAAATTAGCAATATCGAATGTATACGACTTTGCTGCGCTCAGCATCAATTATTTAAATTTTTGTAAACTACATTTAATTCTGGAAAAATGTGTGTATGTGTCACCTTGAGCTTCGATTTCAGAGCAAAAATGGATTTATTGATTATCATTTTGTTCTTTTATGACAGAGTCCCATTAATTTTTTTCAAATTTTCCAAATATCTTTTCAGGAAGAGCAGTGAAAATTTAATTCAATAAAAACTTAAGGATTCGTGGGATATTTTGTTACGTCTTAATAATGAAATTAAATTTTTCTTTTAACTACGTTCATTTTGCATCGTCAATTTTGTTGTTTTTGTGAATTGATTATGTGAGAAATAAAAGCGATTGTAAATGAGACCTTATTTTTAGAAAGAATTACACTTGACAATGAATTGTTTCTTTTTTTTTGTATTGCTTTCTCCATAAGAAAACTCGGTGGTAGATACGTAAACAAGTTTTTGAATCAGTCGTCGCGGGACAATTTGCTTTTCATATTGGTAACATAGACTAGATTTTTAAACTTATTTATAGGAAGAAGGAACTTGAGAAGTATTGATTATTTTAAAGTTAATGTTGAAAAGATGAGTAGAAGGTTTTCCACGGTGACAACAAAATTTATAGCAGTTTGAAATATTTTATTGTAATGTATAAAACTTCAGGATATCTATACAAAGATTTTCAAAATTATCGTGGCATACTAATATGATTGCAGAAGTTTTAAATGTTTCGGAAAAATCACTCTTGTCGTTTTCATCAATTATGTACTGTCGTTATGTGTCTTTTAAGGTGACTTTTTTGTCGAAATGATTTGCGACAAATGTCACAATAAAAGATTTTGTTGCAACCATGTACTGTATTTATGTGCCTTTTGAGTTTATACTGGTTTACAAATGATTTATGACAAATATCACATTTGAATGGCTTGCTACGATTATGTACTGCATTTGTGTGAGTTTTGAGGTAACCTTTATAGCCGAAAGATTTGTGACAAACCTCACATTCAAAGGGTTTTTTACGATCATGTACTGTATTCAAGTGTTTATATAGACTACTCTTGTATCCAAAAGATTTGTTACAAATATCACACTCGTAAGGTTTGATACGATCATGAACTGCATTTACGTGAGATTTGAAATGATCTTTGCGTACAAATAATTTGTTACAAATCTCACACTGAAAAGGTTTGCTACGATCATGTACTGCATTTATGTGGTTTTTGATATGGTGTTTTTGTCCAAATGATTTGTGACAAATGTCACATTCGAAGGGTTTGCAATGATCATGTACTGCATTTATGTGACTTTGGAGATGTTGTTTTCGTTTAAATGATCTGTGACAAATATCACATTCGAAGGGTTTAATACGATTATGTACTAAATTTATGTGAGTTATCATGACACCTTTTTGTCCAAATGATTTTTGACAAATTTCACATTGAAAGGGTTTGATCCGATTATGTACTGTATTGATGTGAAGATTGAGGTAACTTTTTCGTCCAAATGATTTTTGACAAATGTCACATTCGAACGCTTTGATCTGATCATGTACTGTATTTATGTGCCTTTTGAGTTTATACTGGTGTACAAATGATTTATGACAAATATCACATTCGAATGGTTCGCTGTGACAATGTACTGCATTTACGTGTTCTTTAAGGGAACCCTTTTCTCCAAAAGATTTGTGACAAATCTCGCACTCGAAGGCTTTGTTATGGATATGTACTGAGTTCATGTGCTTGTCCAGTGTTTTTTGGTGTAAAAATGATTTGTGGCAAATTTCACATTGATACGATTTAATGTTCTTTTGTGCCGTATTCTTATGTGTGTTCAGATTCGCTTTTCCTTTGCAAGTTTCTAGACATAGATTGTAGTTATGAGTTAAATTTGTTTGAGTTCTTTTTACAAACGGTTTTTCCTTCTCGGATCCTTCAAGCTTCAATCGGGGCTTCCCTTGAATTTTCACAGAGAATTGACAGTTATTATTATAGTCGAAACCTTTTCTTATTGAAATTATTGGTATTTTGTCATGAGAGTAATTGGTCTGAATAAGATTTTCAATTTTCACAGTAGATACGTAACTTTGATCCTCAGTTTTACAGTTGATTGTTGATAGAGATGGCAGTTCAGGTTTAACATATTTGCATTCCACATCGATGAATATTTTTTCATCTAATTTTTCCTGTAACGCCACCGTTCTATTCTCGTGTTTTATCTAAAATTAAAATTGTATAATAGTGTGTGATAGTGAAATAACATACCATAATCCCAATCATCGAACTTACCGATAGTTCATGAAACGGCAATGTTTCAAATTTGTTGACATCACGATAGTCCGTGGAATCGAAATTATCATCATGACCTGCATCTGGCCAAGTATGATACGGTTCTTCTTTCACTCTGAAGAACAGTCAAATTTGATGAAGCAATCGCTTAAAAAAGTATCATGGCATTAACAACATTAATTATACCTAACTGTGTCTTCTCTGCTTTCCATCATTCGCTTTATTATATGTTATTACTTTGAATTTTCGCGTATTGTTCTAAAAAAAATATTTGAGGTTATATCACCTCGAGTATCCAACACTGTACCTCAACTTCGCCAATTTGTAAACACTTGCTTACTGCAAGAATGCAGCTCTTTACTAGCGACTGGACGCACTACTCGTCTATAAGTAAAGTGGCGATATTTTTCCTCTCCATCGTCGACTAGTCATAAGCAGAAATGTACTGCCATGTACATAGGCATTCTCACGTCATTAACAATTGCGCCGAGCATGTAATGAAAATGTCATTCATGCAGGGGCACACTTAGCTTACAGTATACGTGCGATATATACAGAAACCCACACTGATACATAAATACATAGATAATATAGGCGTCGTTTCTCAGATTCTTTTTTTGTGAGGTCTAAGTAATTTTTTTCAGAATTTTCGTAGTGATCAAAAAAGAAGAGTAGTTAAACTTGAATAAAATAACGGTAAGTTATTATTTCATGTACATCAGCAATTTAACTATGAAGAAGCCAATGAATCGACAGCTGATTTTCCAGATTTTGAATTTCATTAAGTCCTCGCTGAGAATCGAAGGCTTGCGAATAGCCATTCGACTGCTCCCTTCAACGAGCTCGCGCCCAAGCTATACGCCTTGATATTGAACAATATCATCAAAATATGACCGGGCGAATATATTCTCGTAGCGAATACAAAAAGTAATAAAATTCTCGGCCCTGAAAAGCCTCGTCCGCACTAGCACCCTTGAAATCTCTCTATGACTCTCTTCTCTCTCTCTCTTGCTTTCATTTTGCTTATTTTAAGTTAGCGCCATGACCTCGCGTCGCGCCCGTTTTCGTACGTATATATATATTTTTCGCCTACATATAATAATACAGCCCACACCTCTTCATTCACAAAACGATCAGAGAGAGAGAGAGTACGTACGTACGTACGTACGAAAACACATATAGTACAAGACGCGGCGTCGGCGGCGGGTCTCCCTTTCATTTTTTGACACCCGGTGTATTTGATTCCACACCCTAGTAATAAACCCCCGGGGGGTTGCTTTACTCCGTGCATGTGTGTCTATGTGTGGAACGCGCGGCCTAAAAATAGAGCTCTTGCTAACATGTTATATCGACACCTTGCCAGTGACTTCTCCATATTTTCTTCCTCACTCTCACTCTCTTTCTTTTTTTACTTATATATATACCAGAGCTCCGCCACCGCCACCGTCGGAGTATAAAATATATAGATCTGAAGATGCCGAGGTATAGGTACAGGGGGATATGAACGCCCGGGTAATTTGCTTTCTTATATACACTTTTTTTTTCTTCTCGCACACCCCACGACGCGTTCCGCGCGTCGACTACGACGTATATATAATAATACCATAGCTGCTGCTATCGCCTATACATCCGATCCGACTTCTTCTTTTTTTTTCTTCTTCTTCATCGTGCCAGCTGCAGCGATTTCATAGAGGATCAGTATTAGACGTTTGGGATTCCGGGTCGTGGGTGGCGACGCTTGTTCGCATCATTACCAACAAGAGAGAGAAGAAACAGAGCTTATATATACCGCGCGTGCCTCGTGCTAATACTCTCGCGCCTGCCTGTATTACAGATACGGGGGGGAAGAGGAAAGAAAAATCCATGCGGTTGTCGCGAGCTTTATACCTTTGCTTGTACAAAAGATGTGTATGCATGAGAGATGTCTTTTCAAAACACACATTCGCTGTATATAGAGCTGTGTATTTGCTTTTGTTCTTTCGCGGGAGTGTTCGTAACTTATGATAACAAAAAAAGCATTGTATATTAATCAACTTTTCCATGTCCGCTACGATAAATAAAGTCATTGACCATCTCCTCGCACGACACCAGGGGGGTAATGTAAACGACAATGTCGTCGTCGTCGTCGATCCCTTTGGAGGGAAACCTCCAAACCAAAAGAAGCGAAGCCCCGCTCAGCCCGACTACTCGGCTTTTCATCAGCTTCTTTTCTTCTTCGAGCTTTATATAAATAAGATTCTTGCCTGCTTTTAATCAGGGGCTCGTCGGAGTCACTTTCTCAGACGTTATAATGATATATACACACCGCCCCGCCAAACTCTTTTGGTTTCGCTCGACAATCTTATTAAGACTTGTTGGATCATCATCGCGTACACATACACACACACACACACACACACACACACACACACACACACACTTTTGGCCTAACGAGATTATACCGAGTGCGACGATGTTCTTTTTTTTTGCCTCTACCCCTTTTTTTTATATAAACGCTGCTAAGCTCTTCTTTATAAGCTTAGTTATGAGAAAAAAATACTCGTACGAAATCAATGTGTCTTGTTTTATTATTCAAAAACGTAATATACATAATTACGGTCGTAAAACACACGTTCGAGGGGCAATTGGCGATGTAGATATACGCATACGCGTGTAACACTCGTCAATAAAGACGTATTATACGGCATTAGAGCGTGAATTCCTGAAATTTCGCGCGCAGTAGTATCTCCCAAAGGATGTGTAATCTCGTTCCTTTTCTTTCTTCGCGCGCGCGCGCTCTTCCATACATATCTATACACACGCACACAAAGCCCAAACCCTTTTCGCAAGCGACAAGACCCCAGGAGCTTTCGACACCCACGCGCCGCCGCTCGACCCGCGCGTATAAGAGGGACAAAATTTAACCCTCTAAGAAGCCTTTAAGAAGAATGTCGTCGTCGTCGTCGCCGTCGTCAACGTCGCAGCTCTTCGTGCCAAAGAGAGAGAGAGAGAGAGAAGGAAGAAGACGAAGAAGTAGAAGAAGAAGAAGAAGAAGTAGAGGAAGAAGAAGGGGGATAAGTTTCTGCTGCCGCATGCGCGCGTGTGTTGTAAGGTGGGGTTGAAAAAGTCAAGTCTCTTTCTCTCTCTCTTATATACCGTACTAGTCACACTGGCCCGCCTACCCCCGCGTGCGCGACTCCGCCTACGAACGACGACGACGAAGCCGTCTCTCTCTCTCTCTCTCTCTCTCTCTCTCTCTTTTGCTCGCGTCCATGCGCTTTTTCGCAATTCTTACCCCTCTCTCTGGCCCCACACGTATACGTGCTTTCCTATGCAGAAATATAGATATATACACATTTCGTCGCCTTCACAAGGCAGCAGCACTGCAGCGAGTAAAAGTGAGCGCCGAGCCACGTGACTGTTAGATAGAGAGAGAGAACATTTTTGCTCGGAATCGAGCGCGCGACGCAGCCTCGAGTGCTGCTACTACTACTACCAAGTGCAGCAGGTACGCCGCGGAATAGGAGGATTGCGGCGAGTAGATCGGTTGCTCGTGCGGTTCGCGCCTCTTATATATATAGTTTCTTGTGTCTTCGGAGTCGGGCTGTATACGTATACGTGAATAAAATCGACCGGAAGTGTTGAGAGAGATCGTTCTTGATATCGAGTGAGCAGCTGCTGACAAGTGTATAATTAATGGAATGAAGATTATTATTAATAATAATGGCGTCCGATACATAAAGCAGTGTAAATATCTTCAACGAAAAAAGTGTTACAATAACGTATTATATATTTTAGGCAGGAATCAAATCGAATACCACGGGCTATTTATTTGTGATTTCGAAATCTAAAACGGCGCGTACGAAAAAAATTGTTATGCGGGTCAACGAAGATAAAAGAATTGACCGTATACATCGTATACCAGTCATATAACACGAGATACATCCCCGGAGTTTTGTTTATTATGGTGCGCACCTACGTTTACATATAACATATAACTGACCATCGGCGGGGGAAGTTGCAGTTGCGGTGTCGAGTGGTGCGGTATATCGCAGTATAGTCCGGATCCTCTCTGTTTATAATGCACTACTACTGCGCGACATGGGCAACTACAGCTCGTTAGAAACCCATGTTAAGTTGTTGTTGTTGTCATCGTCGTTGACCGTCCGTCGACCGTCGTCGTTGTTGCTGCTGCAGTTATCGTTATATCGCTGATATTACACCACTACGACGAAACTAATCTACGAGTCTATAATTGGCTGTCGACGCGTTGGTCCTGCTGCGAGCACACGTGAACGAGCACGACGACGAGCAGCGGCGCCGTTCGCAGCGCAACGCGATTTTGTGTGTCGAGGGAGGAAGAGGGAAGCTCTCGGTTAATTGGGCCAATTAACTCCTACGCGAATCGTGCGTCGAATATAAAAAGAGGAGGAACTTTGTTTGGGCAAAAATCACTCGTATAACGAGTGCCGGTGCCGATTAAACAGCGTCGTTGTTGTTGTTTCGGCTCGTCGCGAAACTATGCGTGTGTGCAAGCGGATGATTTGAAAAATAAAAAGAAAGCCTCGTCGGGAATGATCGATTGATCGTTTTAGAATGCGGTCGCTATATTCCATTGACTCCGAATAGTTTTTTCTTTCATATTTGTGTGAATGGAAAGATCAAACGATAGATTCCCTTTGTTTTTTATAAAACATTGCTCTATTTTAAATTATGTCTGGGCTCTCTTAAACAATCGATAAAAAAAATTACCACAAATACCGGTATAGTCTTTCACCGATCCTCGCAGTCTATCCATCGAACATTATACTCCGTTAGTGCAACGCGGGGGTGGGCTGTGCAAGTGCATCGACGTGTGTGCAGCAGCAGCAGCAGCATATACTACATATATACTAAAGAGCCGAGCTAGCTTATAGCTGGCGGGCGCGCTCGCGCGTGCAGAAATTTTCAATTGGCCAAATTAGCGAGTGCTTAGCGGCTCGTGTTATGACAAGGTCTCGAGTTCGCTCGCTCGTGTGTACTACGTGGGGCGAACGCGAACAACCCGAAAGGTCGAATGAAACGGAGCAAAAAAAAAAAAAGAACAGAACACTGGGGTGCATCCATACATGTAGGCGCGTGTATGGGGGTGCACAGACGAGCGGACGAGTTTCGTACACGATATAATAGCGTGCTAAAAAACCCCCGGACGTTTTACGTGTGTGTGTGTGTGTGTGTGTGTGTACATATTATA